CTAGTTCTTCATCCCCTATACTGACACTGCCGCCAGCTGCTTCTCGCATCCCCTCCGGCCTGCACGACTCCGCACGCAGCCGCCGGCTAGCGACTGCTTTGCTCCCCGATGTCGTCCGGCTAACCGCCCTCGTCGTGTCCCCTCCGTCCCCGCCGGCAAGCGTGCTCTGCTCCCCTTGGAATCCCGTTTATGTAAATCGCGTTTGTGGAAAAACGAGTAATAGTCGTTTTCCCATATACCTGAAATCTGGGCTTTTGGAAAGCTAGGTTTTCTACATACGCGGATTAGTTGGAGTTGCCAAACAGGATTTTTGTTTGTTACACTGTTTCCATGGTTTGTGGAGATCCGGTTTTATATGTACTATCTATTCAAACAACGCCTATGAACCGGTGCTAAAACTCGGTTCTGCACTAGTGACAGGTTCTGCTAAAAAAAGTAAGGCTGTGTGAGGAATCATGTTGTAACTGGGCTAGCCGGCTAGCTCACCAGTACAGTTTGGTACCTTGAGAGGCCAGCGTTAGAACAGATCACACGATTAACACCTATACACTCCTCGTCCCATCCCTGCCTGGATGCATGGCCGGTGCTGTAGATGCCTCGTTCGTGGGCACCGTGCGGCTGAGTGTAGAGATCCGTTTCGGTGTTCCCGTTGCTTGGAGAACAGTCACCGTGCACGTGGATGTCGCAATCCATGGCGTCCTCTAAGCTCGCTGTCATGCCTTGCCGTGCAACCAATTCTGGGTATCGTGCATCGTCATGCTACAACTTCATGTGAGGGTCCGATGAAATCCACGCTACCGTCCAAGGCGTTTCACCATCGGTCTTGGGCGTCTGTCGTCTCTGCTACCGGTGGCTCGGCGATCCAGCCTGATGTGCAGTCTGCTCTGGCTGATCAAATCGCGCAGCTGCAAGGTTGGATGACGCGGGTTGAGAGCTTCCTGGAGAGGGCGGAGGCTGCTCTGGACAAGCTCTCCTTAGGGCCAGCTATGTTGTCAACCAGTCTGATGTCATGCCCTCCTGGTGTGGCCGGTATTGCCACCACGGAGGAAGGAAGCCAAGAGCTATATGGATGTTTCTCTCCTCGTGTTGGGGACAACACATCGTCACTATCAACCTTATCTCTTGTGCTGCCTACCATTGAGGGTGAGCCCAGCGCCGTGCTCGAGTCTTCGGTTCTACAGATCATGCCCGACCTACAGGAGCTATGTCTTAGCCCTGTTTTGCCTTTGTCTGTGAGCGCTTGGAGGTGGACTCATTAGTGACCTGGTGTGAGGGGCATGTTTCGCCTCTATCACATGAGCAAGTGGAGGTGCCTGAGGCAATTGTGTCAGTGGTTCCTGTGGGCGATGTTGTCGTCTCAGTGGTTTCTGTGGCTGATGATGTTGAGGCGGACGGTACGTTGGCGCCTGACCCTTTGAAGCTCAGCCAGTCACTCGCCTTTGTGGACGGCGGAGGTTCCGACGTTCCGGTCACCAACTCACACGTGACCGTTGGGCACGTGATGTCTGTGCGTGACAAGGTCGATGAGATTCTCTTCGAGTTAGAGATTCACAGCTTGCTCAAACGTTTAGAGGCGGCTAGCCCTGGGTCTGGCAAGGCGATTGTGGAGGAGGCTCTCAGAAACCAAAGAAAGAAGAGTGGCGCCACAGAAAAGGCGTCCGCAGCTGCTTGATGGATGGTCATCAGTCTTTTGATTGTCCTTATGGCGTGGCTTGTCTCCGTGATCTTGGTGGTCCTCGTGGTCTTCGACTGAGATACTCTCGTTGGATGGTTCTTTGCGATGTTGTTGTGTGGGGGTTGGTAGTCGTTATGTGTTGGGTTGTTGGGCTGATCATGCATTTTTATGAGGTTGCTTGTTCTGTGAGTAGTCCTCATGTGGTAGGTTTGTATAGGTTTTCGCCCGGTTTTTCAGTAATTAACCGGGCAACTCTCTTCTGCTTAATTAATCGATGAGGCAAATCTTTTGCCTCCGTTTCGAAAAATAATAATTAAAAATGAGCAGTGTTACACACACGACGCTTGGTAGCCGAAATGTGCACGGCACTACATCACAGACCATCCGCTGGCAAGTCTGAGCAGCCGTAGGCGCTTGGATCAGCTATCGTGCATGCATCGTTCAACAGAAAATCGTCCGTCAAGTAGTTCCGTTTAAAAATATATATAAGCTCTTACAGCCGGTGAGCGAGTAGACTTATAACCGAATCCACACACCCTTTCCCTTTCCGGATGTTGACTCTGGCGCCACTAGCTAGAAGAAACCCAAGTTGCTCGATCGGAAACGTCGTGGATACAAACGAATCCCCGAGAGTTTTAAATGCGGGAGATGAGAACGTTCGCCGCAGGACGTCGATCCATCCATCCATCCATCGATCGATCATGCCATGCATGATCATGATCCGATCCATCCAGCCGGCTTCCCTCCCTGTATACAAATAGCCAGGCCTCTCGAGCGTACTAGTAGTAGCTAGCTGATTAAAGCGGGAGGGGGACGAGCGAGAGCGACGGTCGAGGCAACGACGCCGAAGCGGACGATTCCACACGTTTGGTTTCAACCCGTGGCGACACGACCTGGAAAGGAAACGGTCGGGGCCACGGCCGGACTGCCGGACTGGTCACCACGCAGGCACGCACAGTGCCCGCCACCGCACTGTTTCTGTTCCCAATTAATTACGTGACCAAGCAGAGGTAATAATAACAGACGCTGGAGTGGCATCATCGAGCCGGCCGGCCGGCCGGCCAGCCGTCTCACGCTCTCGGCGGTCGGGCCGCCGGCCCCGTCACGTCACCGGCCACGCGCGGCCGGGCTGGTGGTGGTGGTGGTGGAACAGCCGTACAGGTGCGTGACGCGAGCCGGCCGGCACCCGGCCCGGCCGCGCCATTTGCAGCCGTCGCCGTCGCCCCCGGGCCGCCCGCAACAGCAGCAGCAAATAAAAAGAAGGCTCGCTCGCGCGCGCGCGTACGTTCCGTGCGCGATCGCTGTGGGGGTACTGACGAGACGCCGACGGCGAAACCCAGCTGACACGAGCACCGCGGTCCATGATCGATCGATCGATCGATCGCGCGCTACCTCCCTCCCGTGGAAAATCCTCGCGGCCCGCACGTCGTTTTCGCATGGGCCTTGAGAAAGCCTCACCGCTGGACGGACGGACGGACGCCGTGACAACGGATCGCAGTAACATTTGCTGATGCCATGCCCAAAATGATGTTTCTTGGAAGGACTCCCCGTCCCGTCCCCGGTGTGTACAGAGCTGGGAGCACGGCGTCTGATAATATACAGCGATATCTATATCTATCTATCTAGTAGTATCTATCTACTCTCTGTGTGCGTCGTCCACCCATGGCCCATGGGTCAACCAACCCGCACACTCTTTCCTTCTCTTTTCAGCGCCTCCCGCGTTTACGTACCAACTGCCCGCGGAGTCAGCTTCATTTCCAAAAGATGTATGTATGTGTGCGCGCGCTAACCACCACCACATAGTCAAGCAAGACAAACATAGTGGATCATCTTTCTCTTGGACAATATCATATCTACAAAAGTTCACCGGAAGTCCAAAAATGTCTCAGACATGATAAAAATTACAACAAGATTCCGAGACCACCGAACGACCACTACTACCACCAGAACGGGCCGGCTTACCGTGTCGATGACAGTCGGAAAGTCTTCGCACGCGCCCCCGAGGACCAGTGCCCTGAAGCCGCAGTCATCGCCGTTGGACCCATGTATATATACATTTGAAGCACCTGACACCAAATCTTGTCACATGAAGAGAAACCCTGACCTTACCGTCCCAAGGAGATGGCAGAAATTTACGCGGCAGCTCTGTCGACTACGTCCAGGCGGACAAAATCCAGGAGGATCGGAGCTCGGAAGACAAACTCTTGGGATTTTATTGGGTCGTGCACTTGTGTTGAGGTAGCGGAGTATCATGAATGCCTTTCCGGTATTTATATCAGCCTCAGTAAGTCCATTATTTTAGAATCTCATAGCTCCTTTGTGGTTTCCTATTTTGCAAATAAAATTGTAGACAGACCCCCATTTATTGACCTGAAGAGAGAAGCGATTGGCATTATGACGCTCGTAAGAAATATCAAGATCTTGAAGATCAAACGGCGGGCAAATACGGCAGCTCCTGAGATTGCTAAGTTTAGTTTCGATAATAGGTCGGACGGTTTTCTTTTTTACAGTGTTCCGCCCTGTGTGGCATATGTTGTAATGAGTGATGGTACGAACATTTTAAGTTGATTAATATATGGGGGTGTTTTTTTTCTAAAAAAATGAAGCACCGTCATCCGTCCAAGCGCCACACCTGGGAGGACTTAAAAACCCTAATCTGAATTACTAACCAGAGTTAAGGCACCTGGATTCTTCCACCCGGCCATCGGCCGCCGGAGTGGTAGATGGATCCATAAGCTTGTCGGTGAAGTCTGAAGGGTAGAGTTTGCCATAGCCGCCTAGGGTTAGAAACATAGTGGATCATAGCCGCCTAGGTTTTTGTTTTTACTTGAGAAAAATATTGACGAGATAAAAAAATGAACTAGTAGCATGCATGCGTACGTCGCAAAGATGCAAGACAATACAATCGCCCACAACAACCAAGAAAAATCCACACGGCGATCGATCGGCAGATGGCGCGGTACAAGCCAGTACAAGGCTAGGCCGACACCCTCTTTAAACTACACATTCTCCCCTCCCGCCCGTGACATCACATCCTTCAAATTTCAAGCCAGCCTTTGGAGATTGGCTTCCCCTTCCTCCTCACCATCGCCATCGCCATCGCCATCGCCATCGCCATCGGCAACCTTTGCAGCAAGCCACCCCCTTCCTCCCTCCTCCCGCCATATATACCTCCACGCCTCCTCCTCGCCCTTCTCATCTCCTCCTCATCCATCCATAGCTCTCCAACTCTCGAGAAAACTGAAGCTCTAGTCTCACGAGAGAGAAACAAAAGGCTCTCCGGCTCTGCTCCTCCGAGCTCTACACCCCGGCCTCTACATCTCTAATGGGGGAGCACGCGTACGACCACAGCAGCGGCGGCGGCGGCGGCATGAGCCCGTCGACGCCTCCGGTGCAGCAGCAGCAGCAGCGCAGGGGATCCTCGCGCCACGCGGTGGTTCCCAGGGCCGCCACGACGCGGCCGGCGATAAGGATCATCCACATCATCGCGCCGGAGATCATCAAGACCGACGTGGACAACTTCCGGGACCTCGTGCAGCGTCTCACCGGGAGGCACCGCCACCAGCCGGCCGACGCCACGGCGGACGACAGCGCGGCAGTGACGGTGGGCGTGGCGACGACGCCGCTATCGCCTGTAGAGGAGAAGCCGCAGCCGCAGAAGAAGAGGCTGGCGCCTGCGCCGGCGCTGGCGGACGATTTCGTGGCGCAGCAGGAGAACAGGAGGAGGAAGAAGATCAAGTGCGAGGTGGTGAAGGTGGAGGAAGGAGGGTTCGGCCACGGCGGCGGCGACCTCGACTTCAGCGAGCTGTGGATGGATCTCAACCCCGGGGGCTTCCTGAGCTTCTTGGAGGAGGACGTGTTCCAGGGGATGATGGCTCCCGACTTGCTGCAGCAGCCGCTGGGGGCGCCGAGGATGGATTTAGTTGGTGAAATGTGCGCCTCCTTTCTGGCTTAATTAGTTAGTCAGAGCTGCTCTTGTGATCTTTTTCATGTTTTTGTGAGGATTTTTTGCACTTTGGTCGAGAGAAATGGATTCTTTTCTCTCTTCTTCCCTTTGTTTAGATGAACATAATTACTACAATGGTCTTGGAAGAACTTGCACCCCTGGTTGCAAATACTAGTGATTATTTAAGCTTCCCTGGTGGGATGATGATCAATGATCATTCAAGGAATATAATCGGTTTGGGTGCCTACATTTGTTTTCGGTCTCGATCAGAAATGTAAATAATTGTTCTATCCTGATAGTGCCATGTGGAGAACAATCAGAACAGTGATGGTTACAAAACTTCATCGGTACCGGTGCACTTCTGTTTTCAAACTGTAGTTGCACTTGCACTTGATCATCATTCCAAGTAACCCTGTTTTTTGGAAGGAAAACCATAGTACTCAAACAGAAAATATTTTCTACTCTTCTTGCACAAGATGGAGCCCCATGATTCCATCAATTCAGTAGCTGCACCAGACAAAGGATGCTCTGATAAGTGGTGTCTGTTTTTCTCTTTACTAATTGCAAAATGATGTGGACAACCAGGTGTGTGTATGTGACTATGAAAAGCTGTGTATTACCTTGATGGGAATAATTCTATTTTTATACCAGCATTCTTCTAGGTGAAGTCTTTAATAGTCCGGTTGTGTGTTGTCATTAGCAATATGCAGCGGTGTAAGCATGCTGGCAGAAAACGATGCTTGCGGTATGCTAATCCGTAGGTAACTTGTTTAGCAAATACTTGCTTGTTCTGGCATCTTAAACAAGATCCAGTGGTTCTTTCTAATAATTGGGATAATCACACATAATAGTACATTAGTACTACTGATCTAAGATGTTGTACTTCTGTAATTCAGAATAGATAGCCGTATCAAAGGGTAGCTTATAAATTCAGACAAAGCTATGGATGCTCAAATTTAGTTGACTATTAGCTTTTATTCAGCCAACTCCTTGTCCATCAATGGCCAAAGGCTCGAGGAAATATCCGGTACTCATCTACGATGCATCTTATCCCAATGATAAAAATCCTAGGATATTTTGCGCAGTGAGCAACCTTTGATCTCACTTTCAGCCCTTAATTGCATGGAAGAAGTTTCTCTCTGCGTTAACTAGATTAGTGCCCACCTGAACCCTCTCAAAGTCTATCATTAGTCAGCTTAGCTTCTTTGTCACTCTCGTGTCTTTAATTCCTCGCTCTCTCGGCGAAAATTCAATTCCGGATTCATGCACCGTAGGCGTACCCCTCCATCTACACTAAGAACATCATACATGTTCTCTCTGGGTTTCTAGCTGCTACAAAGTGCTTTGTATCTAGGCAAAACAGGCAAGAACGAAACCGCTGAATATTGGCGTTTGCTCCGGTACGGCACTCAATCATTGTTCGACGCTAGTACCCGTAAAGAAAAATTGTGACTACCTGACAAAACATGTTGGACCCATGAAATAATGGAGGATAGTGCTTTGTATCTACCCTGTTATCCATGTCGCCTCAAGATGCTGGATATCCATCTCAATCCCAGCGGCCTCTCGGAAAATCCAAATGCCCAATGAGAGTATCGAGCACATCAACCATATTGTGTCCAAGAAAGAACTTTTGGGGGCGGCCTTTTGTTGTCCCATATAACACGTTGTCACCACCCAACTACCAGACATTAAGGTTGGCTAGAAAATTGAGCTAGTGGCTCTTTTTTTTGGCAGCTTTCAGAAGTCAAATGGAAAGGTTGCAAAACTCCGTTTACATTGACAAGGGTAGACTTTTCCTCGTGGTTACTTAATTAGCATTTTGGGAGCAGTTTGTTCCCAAACAATGGTAGGGGTGGTGCTAGAGGCGTTGCCACGTTAGTTAGTATTTAATAACAATTGCACATGAAATGCCCCATTATATGTTCTTATCCACATTCAACCTCTTGTTTTGATGGCTCTTTTCCTTTTCGGCTTTTGAGGTTTTGTTAATAGAAATACGACATACTCAAACCACCAGAGTAGTGGACATACTGACAGTGGAATGTGTATGCACAATTGAAGGATTTAGAAAATAATGAAGCATACAACTTTGCTTTCGAGTAGGCGACCAACTACATGAAATAATAATACTGCGGGCGCTAATCGATAGCTTAACTACCCATCTGGGCAAGGTGCAAGCTAAGAGAGGAAAAATCTTGTGCCGAGAAACTAGTTGATTAGCACGACGACATTTGAATTGAAAGCTCTCTGATTAACTAACTAGTTGGAAGCTACTAATTGGACTGTCAGAGCACCCTCAACCTCAAGTTGCCACCCTTTGGTTGGCGCAAAAGAAAAAAATGCAACCCTTTGAGGCTGCCCCAACGGCCAACCACAGCATGGTGTGTCCTCATCAACTGTGTTAATCGAGAGAGACGCGCTGATAAACAATCACTGGAGCTGATGGGCACCCCGTTTCTTATTGCCAACGTCCTGTGGTATCGGTTGGATCCACCACGTCCATGAATGAGATCTTTCTTGCGTAAACAAAAGAGCGCCAATTATTCAAACCCCTCGTGCCCTGGACCTCGAGGTTGTGATGTCACACGGTGGGCATCAGCAGGCTAGGTAATTAACTGATGTTACACTAATGAAACTGCTTACTGCATCGCTAATTTCCTCCAAACTTGTGGGTATAGTAGAAACAGGAATAAGTAACTGCATGAAAATGAATAGGGATAGCTATATGTAGAATAGAATTATCATCTATACTGACTACTTCATCATCTTGTTTTGCTCATCGGTTTCTCTGCACTGGAGAAGAACAAATATTTCCAGAAATCAAAGAAGGGAATCGCCAGCAAACTAACAAGACAGTTATCATCGTGCTAAGGCAATCTGGTTAAAAGTTTCTCCACTGGAGAAGAAAAACATTACTATATTGTTTCCAGAGACCAAAGAAGGAAATCACCAGCAAATTAACACGACAAGACAACTATCGAAAAATAAAGCCAAGGTAAGACAGTTACCCGGTCCACATTTCTAACGCGGTAATTGTTGTGCAAAAACTGAACTGTGAACTGTCTCCTACTATATAAGAAATCTTGGTGTGTTTAATTCATATACACATGAAATATCTGTATTCCTTTACATGCCGACTATCACCAGAGAGATATAATACCGCTAATAAGACTTTTCCAAGGGGAGGGGAAAGATCGATGATCATCGATGGGGTACATGGTGCTGAGCTGGGGCGATGATGCGGATCTTTGCTACTTGACCCCGAGTGTCAACTCCTAATTAAAGGGTGCGGGTACGAGAAGTAGCACTCGGGAGGAGCAAGTTGGACAGCGACCAGGACGGCATCACGGCCCTTGAGAAGTTGTTTCCTCCTGGATTCCTCCCCCTGAGAAGTCGGGCAGGCAGCAGCAGGTGCAGGTGCAGGCCACCTTTTCGAAACCGCCTTCTCCGCTTGACTTCCCGGTCAGGCGAGGGTTCCGGTTTTCCCAGCAGCGGCCACGGCAGGGGCAAGAGCTTGACTTCCCGGTCAGGCAAGGGTTCCGGTTTTCCGAGCGGCGGCCGCGGCAGGGGCGAGAGCGACGGCGGCCCTTGTTTGGGTTGCTTCTGGTCTCGGTGAGGGGCCACTTGGCTTAGAAAAACGGAGCGGATCATCAACTGGAGATCACAGTGGCAAGGTGACAGGAAACCTAACGTAGCGAGGTGTGCACAGGGTACGATGCGACGTGAATGACGCCTCGTGCACACGTCGCCCCTAACTGCGGAGTAATGTTGCGTGATGGCACAAGAGTACGTAACGTACGTGGTAATATCATACGGAGTATCAACTATTATTAAGTAAGAAAAACCCTAAAAAAATCTATTATTGAGAAAAGGTGCGGCCGACCTTTGCAGTCTTGCCACTCTGCGATAATGCCAAAATATGTGAACCTTGTACTATTTGGGATCGACGACACTGGCAAGTGGCCACCCAAAAGTAAGAAAGGGAAATCGCATTTATCCCGTGCCAACACGACGCCAAAGAAGAGATCAGCACTCTTCCTTCTTAAAGAGGCACTCCAAATGGCGCATAGCTTTCCGATTTCTATGGCTGAGCAAGCCATGTTAATAACAGTACACGAGCTCCATTGCAATAGATACACATTACCTAGCTACTCCCTCCGTTCCTAAATACAAGTCTTTTTTTAAAGATTTCAATATGGACTACATACATATAGAGAATGAGTGAATCTACACTTAAAATATGTCTAAAAAGACTTATATTTAGAAACGGAGGGAGTACTACCATCTGCAACAGAAACTTTGGTTTGATAAGTACTATCTATTCACAAGTAAACGAGTCATTCGACGAGCATTCCTGCAACTCTGAGACAGCAGCGTCAAGGACCAAGAATGTGCTCGTAGTCCGGACAACCAGCGTGCGTACAATCAAGTATACTTTCCACAAAACAATGGAATTACAAGGAAGATATCCCAAGTATATGCAACCAACCACACGGGTATAATCGCTTAATCAAGCAACACAAAAAAGCTAGCTCATTGGTAAAAAGGTATACATTGGATGCGCTAACGGCCGGTATGGTGTAGTATCTTGCACGACTGATGTCCGCATCACGTAAATCAAGTTCCACGGTTCCTGTTCTCTTCTATGGTGATGAACATCAGACCGAAGCAGACTATTTGTGTAGCCCAAGTTTCCCCTCACTCAGTGTGCTTCTTCAAAACCTTCTCGGTATTTTACACATATGACCTGGCCCAGTTGTGCATGCCAGATTACAGATAGTAGTACTCACCGAAGGTGCACGGGTACCGATTTACAAATGATAGCAGCAACTCATGCGTCTGAGGTAAGATACAAGAGGGCAGGGTATTCAGATTATCTGCGTATTACAGGGAAAAGTTAACACACATCAATCGTTTCAATATAGTTGGAGAGATAATAACAGAGATAATGTAACCGCTAGAACTAGGACAGAAATGTAAAGAAACCAAATGGAATAAACACAAGTCGTTCAATTAACCTAGAGCTATACATCAACCAGAAGCTAGACTGCGGCTCGGTAAGAAGGGACACTTCAGTTGGTACTAAAAATTTACTGATCATTTAAGAACTCACAGTTAACAACTACTTTGACATTGTTGCATACTTTTCTGGCTTCACTAAGTAACACCTTTGGCAAAGGCGAGACAGGCAAGAATCCAATGACAGACAGACTGCATACCTTCATGAGTTGAGAAGATTTCCAACCAACGCAGATCTATCGTTTCTTCCATGAGTAGCTCGTCTACGCATTGGCGGTGCATAAACTGTTATTGGGAGGACCCAGTCCCCCTTCTCTCTTTTCTCAACAAGAAGCGGGTGCTCATACCTGCCAAAGAGAGACCAGAATTGACCACTCAAAGCTAGCAGCAGCAAACTACAAAATTTGCTCCATAAGATCATCATGTCCCATACCTTGATGAGTCCATTCCGACCGGAGTTGTGAAGAACTCAAATCTAAGGGACCACTGTACAGAAACCTTTGAGGTTGCAAATGACATTGGTCCATCAATAGGAATTGAGAAGAGAAAACTTGTCTGGTGAAGATCTGCAACAACTTCATGATGTTCGCTGTGTACCTGATCAGAGAGTCAATGTTGGATCACAAAATAACACAGGTTAGCGTTTTACAGAATAGAAATTGATATTCAAATAGACACATAGCTTAGGCAGGTTGTTTGTAAAAATAAACCGAATATTGATTAAGCATCGGTGCTTGTTCCTATAGCAGAGGTGCCTAAGGGCCTGTGCAATACAAATAAGCATCGGTGCTTAACAAAAAAATCGGTTCCTTTTCCCAAGCACCTCTCTAATCAATGTATTGTACAAGGCCCAAGGACTCGTGGCATCTGAAATTGCCGGTATATGTTTATTATTGTCATCATAAGGTAAATACAGAAAGAGTTCTTATCATATTATCTATTGGCGATCACGAGTTGATGACCTATCATGGGAATATTTGAGGGCATCAGCACAGTTCCTTTTCTGTTTTCTCAATCTTGAAAAGATGGTTGTTTAGATATGTAATTGCAACTATGAAAAATGCCACTAATAACAGTACTAACTCGAAAAATATGCTAATATCTACAACATCAAATATATATAGCATTGAAATATATTCTATGACAAATACAATAATACAAAATTGATGTGGTGGACGTTAATATATTTTTGAGTTAAATGCACTAGAGGTCCTAAAAGTTTCATCGGGGGTGTCACTTTAGTCCTATTCTTCCGAAATGCACCTTTAGGTCCTAATTCTTTAGTACGTGGTTCATGCGAGGTCCTAAAAGTTTCAAAATGCACGTTTAGATGTTGACCCATGCCACCTCCCTCCCTCCCTCCCTCTCTCTCAACGCGCAACCAAGAAGGTCTGCGAATGATCGTGCAAAAAAGGACCTCGGGTGAACCACTTACTATAGAATTAGGACCTAAACGTGCATTTTGAAAGAAGTAGGACTGAAGTGACACTGCCCAAAAACTTTTAGGACCACCAATGTATTTTTCTCGCCGGCCGGTTGGGCCTCTGTCGACGTGGCATGGGTCAACGTGCTATGCGGGCAGGTCAACGAGC